TTGTTTTCCTTTTTGATTCCTTACCTGTCGAGGCCTTAGGCTTCCAGGACTTATCGCATGCGTATGTTACGATTCTCCTACCACTCGATTTAGTAGTAGATTTCCGGGCGATGAACGCGAACCCTCTTGTTGCAGCCCAGGTGTTTATTGCCGTCAATAGCTCCTCACGAGATTCGTATTCATCCTCCGGCGGGAGACATTTCTCGGGGAAGACGCCGGCCTGTGTAACAGCAGAAGAAGTCTCAGTTTGGGCACTCATCATGGCATCATGTACACCAGAATTTCGTTCGAATTAAACGAGTTGAACAACACGAATAGAACGCGCTGTTCGCGTTTACAAGACTCGGCCAATCAGAAAACGTGCGGCCCGCTAAAACGGTATCGCGACGCCCGGGCGCCGATTTTATCCTGGCGCCTGGGCGCCGCTCCAGTGGGAGCCGTATTATCCCCGCAGGCGGTCCGAAGTGGAGAATGGTGTCGGCCGAGATCCGGTAGCCGGGGTACGACTTATCCAGAATCACATCCACGGCTGTGTACGAAGCTCCGTTGACAAGTTTCAATCCCTGCAGAGTGTTCTTATTGACGACGACCGGCATGCCAGGCACGAACATGAAGACTGCTGGCACGGGAATGGCGCTGTCATCTCCTCGACTCTGCATCATGATGGCTTCCTCTTCGGTCGGCTGGCCATCAACCCACTTGTCCAAGTCAACAGCTTTATCCGACAACAACGCCCTTGTCTGCCTTCGAGATGCTTGAGAGTGGACAAGTACCAATACCCGGATATCGTTTTCCATGGCCATTCGGTCCATGGAGAAAGGTGCGCAACCAACTACTTCCAATCATTTGAACCCTCCAACTATTGTTCACCATAGCTGTGATCTGACTTTCCATGTTCAGCAGCCAACCGATTACTCCATCTGGAATGCAGCATGAAACTACCCAGTGGCGTCCACATCTGGGACCCACCGCCGACTTCCCAGTTTGGCTCTTTCTGCTGTTTGCTGGCCAATGGTTGGCCCGCTGAATAATCGTGCCACGCCCCACTTTTTAGGTGTTGGTGGTGAGAGCTTTGCTTGACCCAAAAAAGTGGGGCGTGGCACGATTACCATTTTCAAACGAAAACGCTGGTTGTCGCTCCCACCAGCGTGGACGCGGGACCGGCACGCTAGTCGGGCTCATCAACATTGACTATTGAGCTTGTCATTCAACCTGCGCATGTGAGACCGAACGGCTGGGCCGCCCTTACAGTCCAGTCTTTGGCGCCTGTGCTTTGCCACTATAACGCATGGCCGGCGAAGTGGATGGAAATTCTCGAGGGACAAACAATTTCCAACTGGGTTGGGCTTGGCTTAATCTGGGATGTAGGCCAAGATATCATCTCGCACATTTGAAAGGACCACAATATAGACTCATGCAATTAGCATTCCCCCCTTAAATCGATGACTTGGATAAACATCTCTGACCTTGATGGAACTAATCTCAGACGGAAGCCCTCAAAAGGGTGGAATTAGTAGTAGTCTCCACTGTAGTATGTGCCTACTGGCATACTTATTGGCGGGTCACTCAAGAGAACATTACACGACGGAGCCGTCTACCTGTCAGATTTGTGGCGCTGAATCGCACTGTGTGCTACCACCTAGCATTCCGTATGCTGCTGCCTTGCAGGCAGCAGGATTCTGATGGTCCTTATTTATGATGAAATTCTTCTAGTTTTAGAGAAGAACAACGAACTCAACTTTACTTTGAAGAATAGATTTTTTGCAGTGATATTGTGCCACCGTATTTCTGACACTACCCTACTTACCGTGGCGAGTGATGAGGGATACCGTGACTTCTGCCTAAGTTGCAATGGTGAAGCTGGTATCTCTTAACAAACACAGACTTGTGTTCCGACATGAAATAATATTGGCTTCATTGGGGTTTGACGTTGCAAATTGTTCCTTTTTGGGACCCAGGTAGTCAGTTCTATCAAAATTCTTTGCTGTTGAACGGACAAAGAATATGCTTTGCGAATTATTGCCTCTAGGCTGGTTTCAGTTGGAAGATACCTGGAGAAACCATGCATGCCTATACTGTGATAGCTGTATCCACTAACTTGCATCCGCGCCATTCCACTTAACGCGTGCTACGCGCGAGACGCGTTGGATCGCATGATGTGGCCAGCGATAGATTTGACGCGAAGCAACCAGGGTCTTGGACAGACTATTGGTGAGACCGTTAGTCTGCGACCCTCGGACTGGACTACCAGTCGGCTTGGCAAAAGCCAGACTGGACTGTCAGTAGTCCGCGAAACAGAAACTGGACGGTCAGGCTTATTGGTGCAGTCCGAGGGACACAGACTATACCGTCAGTCCAATTCGAGAGATTCAAACCGGACCAACAGTGCAAGGACTATTACTCTGGACTGCAGTTTGCACTAATAGTCCTCTAAATGGTCTGGACTATCAGGAGCGCTGTACTAGGGTTTATATGCATGTAAAGGTTCTACAGGTACGTGGCGCGTAATATAAATATTACAGTCACGGACGTGGCGCGTAATATAAATACTACAGTCACATTGTCTACTTTTCTTCGCAATGTTGGTAATCTATTTGAAGAGCTCTTAGTCTTAGCTGAATACCTAGATATCGTACTCCTGCGGCCCCGTACCATAGACAGCGACCCTCGCCTTCAAATTGAGCCCCGAAGTGGATACAGCAATGGCAGCATCATGACGAAGCTCCAATATACGATAGAAGGCGCTCTGATAGGCCGCTGCGGTAGTACCGAGTACTAATGGCGCTTAATAAAGCGGTCAATCGACGCAGTGCTGGCCAAGACTGGCCAAGAGTAGGTGGATCACGATGTGATGCAAGTGAGGACTGCCCTCGTTGAATTAGGTTTGCTGCATGTGCGTCACGGATGAATTCTTTCCCAATAGACACACGAGCTTGTCAATGGCTGCATCAGTGATGTCCATGGTGGTGGCGGAGAAATAGGCGGCAGAATTAGTCATGTCTAACCCGATTGCTGACCCCAGCGTGATGCTCCGAGTAGTGATGCTCGGTCAGCACCATTGCCATTGGCCCTTGACCCTCCTCAAGACCAGACGAAACCATAAACAGTGGGGCCATGGCGCGTTCTCATAACATCTCTCTGATGACGATGGCCGTGCCATACTACCACATGATGAGAGTCTATGGAGATAGTGTTGACTTGGCACGAGTCATGTACTAGGCATGACACGAAGAAGAGTTGCTGCCTAGTGGCACGGACCGTGCCACTAGGTATTTATATGTATGAGAGCTGCCAGCCAGAATATAATTGAAGTTCAATCCCAACAGACAGGAAGCTGCTTTTGCGCATAATAATATCATTATCTCCTTTGATTCTTTTTAGGAGGAAAGTCGCCATCAGATGGACCAGATTGGAAACCGAATTTGAAAGCAGTGCAAGCGGCGATCCACTTTGCACTGGACGACTGGAGAATAACATACTGTGCCTGCACCCTTAAACGCAGAACTCGCACCGACAAGGGTGGTGCTTATCACCACAACGGACACATCAGCCACCTGGCATTTCATGAGGTTTCTGCGCCGCATTGAACAAATCTCAGCCTCTTATCTCATCCGTCTCTGGAGGTTTTCTTGTCTACTTAATAAAGCTTCCTCGGGGAACACACCAACGCTCTTCGCATTCCACCCACCTCTGCTCTTTAAGCCAAACGCAAGGTATTCTCGTATGTTTTCGAATATGCCGAGAAGAGTTCTTACCGCGGAGGAGCGCCAGCGCGTAAACGCCTTCAGCGAAGCCCTAGAGACAGCTTTGAGTCAGGTCGACAGTGGCGACTTTAAAGCCCGAGAGCGTGTGAGGATAGAAGTGGACAAGGCTCATCCTCTCAGTCAAGAAACCCGCGAGGCATGGTCGTTTGAGGAGCTTGCTCAGTTCGCTGGCCCTCTGCGAGAAGTGGCATGTGAAATCAACTGGTGCAAATTCAAGCCAGATGCTCCGTGGGGTCTAGTGGTTTACCGAACGGCGTACGGTGATAATGCTGCCTGGGACCGAATACTAGATGAGCTTAAAGATTCTATCGAGTGGCTGCCGTACGAGCCTGCCCCTAACCCTGAGCTATATCCCAGGCACCGATTTGAAATCATGGACGATCAGAGCCAATTTGAGGGTGCTAGTATAGATACCTTGCGCAAGAAATTCTCTGCGTGGGTGGTGGACGAGTACCGCAATAACTGCAAACATGACCAATGTCCCTCTGTGGATGAACTCAAGGCCGAAATGGCAGGCATACACGGTGAGCTTGGGGGTGGCCCTCGCTACAACTTCTTTCTAGTTGTTGATGATATCTGTCTTGAGTCTGTACATCAGAAATGTGGCCCAGTGGTCAAGTTGGTGCAGAGAGCCGGGCATGAGGATGCGGATGCGGATGATGATAGTTATTTGGCCCAAGAAATTGAGGAATTAGGCGGCCCTAGGCTAGCAGATTCAGACTGGGAAGGGGGCATATCGGAAAATGAGTTTGAGAATGTTGGCTGGATGTATATGGAGACGTCGGATTATGTCGATCTTCAAGAAAGCTTGGTGCAAGCTTCCAACTGGGAAGACCACTACCTAAGGCCGCCGCAGATGAGGTGGCTGGATGGATTTGAGGATACGCCGGGATCATGGAGGAGGCAGAGGAAAGTTGGGAGCGAGGAAGCAGAAGGAAAGAGCCGAGACTCTATACAAGGAAACGGCACAGCTGCGACTCTGAAGAGGCCGCCGCCGCCACCAGGGCTGCAACCGTGGGAGGTCCTGTGGTTGGAGTCTTTGACAGGAGATGACGGTCAATTGTAGTTTTGAGACCAGGAGTCGTTGATGATACCATGCCGCGACACGGCATGGTAAAAAGCAACGACTTGCCCCTTCTTGAAGTCTTGATAGCTGACAGCCTGATATGCGACACACCCCCCAGCGTTGACTTCGTTGAGTGATCTAAGTCAACGCTGCTTGAAGCTATAGGACTATCACACCCACCCTTGGGCTTACTATCATCCTATTTCACAGCATTGTCTTCTAACCTCACCTCCCTTTTGATATCTATCAGATTCAACATCGATCAGAAATGCTCAAACTTCGATCTCGATAGGGCTTTCGTCAAACCGTCTGCTGGCATCTGATCGGTCTGTAAATATTCTACCAGAAACCTGCCCTTCTTGAATTCCTGCTTTAGCCACATGTTCTGGACGTCGACGTGTCGCAGCTTCGTCGTGATTCTCTGGTTGTCCTCCACGACAAGTCGGATTGACTGCAGATTGTCGCAGTATATCTTGAGAGGGCCAAGATCAAGAGAAATGTCCCTTAGTAGTCGACCTAGGGCATAACTTTCCTTGGCTGTTCTTTCTAGACTCAAGATTTCTGCCTCAGTTGTCGAAGTGGTAACAGTGTCCTGGAGTCCGGCCTCCCACACTACTGGTCCGTTGAAGAGCGTTATTATATATCCCTGCGACGAACGTCAGGTTTGGCATCGTCCGCGAATGATGCATCACTTGCAATCACAGGTGCTTCTCCTGCGTGCATCCCATCATATACGATGGCAAGAAATCTCGTTGTGTAGAGATAACGGATGCATTGATCAGCGCGGCAAGATGCTCGGGAGATGGGTTGGTCAGGAACCTTGCAAGCTGGGTAGCTGCTCGTGCTATATCAGGTCTGGTCATGACTGCGATATACATCAGAGATCCAACTCGTTCCTGATAAGCTTTCACGTCTTCCTGGGACGCCTGTCCGTCATGTTTGACAAGAGGGATCGTTGTGATCGGGATTGATGGCACTAGAAGCTTTGAATCACAGAGCTTAAATTTTCGCGCAATTTTGTCGATGTAGGCGTCTTGGCAGAGATAGATCTTCCAGCTTGGTCGATCTCTGATGACCCTGATGCCAAGATACCACTTGAATTCTTCTTCGCGCAGGTTGTACTTGCCTTCAAATATGGCGAGAGGAAGACTCGGCGTTCTTTCTCAAAATATCGCAGAAGGCCTCGGCGCCGCAGGTATCCTCACTAAAATCTCCACAGTCGCTGCAGAAGCTAGTGGCGCCAGGCTGCTTCCAGGGCAGGTCCTTAGGCTCGGTGACGTGGCCGTCGAGGCACTCCTTGGTGCTGTTCCAGCGGGTATCCTCAAGCAGGCTCCCGTCTTCGCTGCCCCATTGACCAATCGCCTCACAGTACATCTTGGTGCCGCACGAATCCACCGTCATGCCTCTGGCGGCGCAGTCGGCGTCAGCAGTATAGCCAAATCGAAGGGGAGCTCCTCCTTTTGCTTGGGCTCGTGCGCGTTGAAGCAGGCCTCGGTAGTGTTTAGCTTTGAAGTTCTCCGAACTACCACCGAAAATGCCGATGGCCTGGCAGTATCTCTTAGTGCCGCATCCATCTTCGTCCTAGCCATTAATGGGGCGGATTTGAAGGGGCAGGATACAGGCGGTGGGGGCGGCGGGGGGGGGGGGGGGGGGGGGTTGATTGGTTGATTGGTGCAGGCAGGAGCCCATGGTCTTGGTGGCAGCAACGAGGAGGATAGCGCACTTCATGGTGCTAAAGGCCTAGTGTAGAAAGAGTGGAGTTGAAAGAGTGGTTTAATCAAAGGCGGTCAAGTGCGAAGTCTAGAAAACAACTGTCAAAGCTATTGATGAGATGCTCAACAAGTTAAAAGGGCCACGGACAATTTTATATAAACAGAAGCTCGCTATTATTGCATTACGCTGTATCCATGGACAGAGACTTGTAATGATTCTCTTGGTGCATACCCCCTTCGCTCTCCAACTGTAAGAGGCACGGGGCTTACGCGAGAAGCGTGTTACAAACCAACAAATTGATTGCATTGCAGAGAAGAACTACAAGCTCTCTAGGAGCTGGCTACTGTTTACATAGTCGACACTCAGGGGCAGATTGGGAGACCTTCATTTGGTGGCGTTATTGCATCGGCGTCAGCCGAGTGCACCTCAACGGCGCCATTACACCAACGGCTAGAAACTGCTTCTTACTATCAATAATGCGGCATCAGCTAACTTTGCCAGTAGTTGGGTTCCACAGTGGATTTAGCGCAACATGTCTGAGACCCACAGAAGATTCGAATAAAATAATCTTCTCTCTAACATATATGCATAGCGAGTGGAACTGCACGACGAGTGGAACACCGCGTAATCCCATACAAAATGGCATATTCAACCCCCATGCAAAAATCGCCATTCTTTGATAAAAAGTAACAGGACTTAACAAGAATATTGATTACAGTAGTCTTATCATCTATGAGACTTTCTGGCACTTCATATACTTGTTTTTAAGCAAATATTGCAAAACTTCAGTATAAGGTATGCTTATAAGCGATATCTGCGAATAATTTTGCACATAGTATAATTTAAGATTTAAAAATAATATAAAAACACCTTAGTATACCAAGGAAAGTTAAAATGCGTAGTTTTATCTGGTTTAATTTAAAATTAGTGGGTTTTGCATGGATGGGATAATGCGGTGTTCCACTCGTCGTGCTGTTCCACTCGCTATGCATATGCGTTACCAGGCATTTAGGCTTTTGTATTCCCGATGAGTCAGGTCACTCTTAACTCTACTTATTACCTATAGTTATATTAGGCGTAAAGGGCGGCATCTGCATTGTTGTGTGAGTGGCGAAATGGGGCGCAATTTCGTTATTATCGTGACTTTTGTCAGATGCCATGAGCAGAATCTGCAAGACACTGTACCTGGCAGGAGGATCCCAGATGAAACATGTAACAAGAAGTCAAGGGAGAAATCACCTTGCATGTATCCTTGTTAGCTCGTTTAAATGGCCCCAACAGCTAGTTAGTTATGGCGATGGCTGTTGACTAATCTTGGGTCAGCACGTTGCGCACGTTAAACCCTTGTTGGAATGAACACCCGCGGCTTAAGTAGTTTAGTTTAGTAGCATAGCTCGAGGTTCAGTCCTCTTGGGGGCCGGTTAGTCGGTGGCGACTGAGGCTTGACCGTGTAAGTCCACAGCAAACCAGTACACATATACACTGTGCTCCAACCTCGTATCGACATCTTGGCCCAACGAGACAGACGCTAAGATGCCGCCGTTGAATCAGATACCGTCGCGATCAAGGGATGATGAGCAGTGGTCCAGAACTTTTTCTTCTGTTGGGCAACGTGGCGTCATTAGGCGAACCTGACATCGTGGTGGGCCACCGTCCGGTGGGTTGCCAGCTGGGTGTTATCAGATCTAAGGCCGGTGTGTATGTATCCGGGCGTCAAAACTCTACTGCGCGCGTGTGGTGGCGCGGGGCCAATGATAATCTGCAAGCCATTTGGCCACACCAATGTTCCCGCCAAAGAGTCACGCCGCGAGCGAAATAAATCTTCCTTCCATGATCCTCCCTGCTCTGTGGCTTCCAATGTTGCACGTCGGTTTTTCCACAACCGCGCATATGGGGAATTGGCAGAGTCTAGACTCCAGAATCGGAGATTCCGAGTCCAGATGTACCACCCGGAACCTCGCCATGCCGCAATGACTAGGCTAGGGTTTTTTTCCGGGCCAAGAATTCAAACCCAACACGGAGTTTCTCACTGATCGATAGTTGGACAGCTATTGCATCAATATTCAACTGCAAGGGTTGCAATGCTGTCTCGGGGTTGGCCCCGGGACCATGTGGTGAGAATACTACCAAACCACTTGACATGTTCAAATGGTAGTATGTAGCTCGTAGAAATACCCACGCGGCCGCATGCTCGAGTTTAATCCTTTTTTCATCCACAACCCTTGACTCGGCTTCGCAGCCTTTGATAGCTGGAGACATAGTCAAAAAAGTCGACATCCCCCGGCAACAAACAGCCCAAGGTCAACGAGGCCAACGAATCCAAGACGGCGGCCGTCTCGGAAACCATGTTCCAGCGGACGACCAAGCCGGGCGAAAACCCCGACGACTCCTCGTCCAATACTGCCAACTCGCGACGACGCTCAGCCCCTCCCGCGTCCGAATCCGACAGTCACCAGGAGGTCGGCGTGAGCAGGGTCGAGGCCTTCAACAAGCAGCTGTACCAGTCCGGCAAGAGAGGAAAGCTGTTGCTCTGGCTGCTCGCCATCTCTATTGGGCTGACCATGTTTGCCTACGCTCTCGACATGGGCATCACCACCGGCATCTTCAGCACCTTGGCCACCTCGAGCTTTGGCGTCCACAGCGAGCTCGGCGCCGTCAGCACCGCCAGCCAAATCATCCGCGCCGTCAGCAAGCCCTTCATTGGCAAGATGGCCGACATCACCTCGCGCCCGACCACCTACGTCGTCATCCTTGCCTTTTACGCCGTTGGCTTTGCTGTCGCCGCCAGCGCTCGCAAGTTTGCGTCCTACACGGTGGGCATCTGTTTCACCTCAGTGGGCAAGTCGGGTCTCGATCTTCTCAGCGACATCATCGTCGCCGATCTGACGCCTCTCGAGTGGCGGGGTTTTTTCAGTGCCTGCCTGTCTTTCCCCTTTGTAGTCACCGTGCCCGTCAACGGCTTCATTGCCGAGGGCTTTGTCGACAACTGGCGATGGGGCTTGGGCATGTTTGCCATTCTCGTTCCCGCTCTTCTTGTCCCCGCCATCATGGCCCTTTACTCGATGCAGCGCCACGGTGAAAAAGCCGGCATGGCTACCATGGCCGATTCCAAGAATGTTCGTACTGGCGTTGCCGATGCCTCGCCTAAAAGCTTCCGATATTGGGCCAAGTTGGCCTACCAGGGTCTCATCGACATTGACATTATCGGCCTGGTCATTCTCGGTTTAGCTTTTTCCTTGATTCTCTTGCCCTTCACCCTGGCCAAGAAGTCTCAGGGTGGTTGGAGTAATCCTAGCATGATTGCCATGTTGGTCATGGGCTTCATGTGCCTCCTCATTTTCGTGCTCTTCGAAGTCTTCCTCGCGCCCAAGCCCCTCATGACGAAGCGCATACTCAAGAATCGTGCCTTCATTGCCGGTGTCATTATTCACGTGGACCATCTTCCTCGGTATCACCACCATGGGTCTCTGCTTAGTCGGCCCCGTCGTAGGTCTGGTCCACCGCGTCTCTCATCGCTACAAGACCGTCATGGTCATTGGTGCCGCGGCCAAGATTCTCGGCTACGGCCTCCTCATCTTGTCCAATGGCAACATGACTCAGGACACTGTCCGCCTTGTTGCTGCGCAGCTCATCTTCTGTCTCGCCTCCCTCAACATCGTCGGCGCCCGTGTTGGCGTCCAGGCCTCCGTTCCCCACGAGGATGTGGCCTCCATCATCTCCATCATCACTCTATGGTCCACCCTGGGATCCAGTATTGGCAGCGCCATTGCCTCCGTCATATGGACTAACCAGATGCTTGACCAGATGCGCGAGGAGCTTCCTGGAGTCCCTGACAAGACTATTCTCGCGATCTACGGTAACATCAAGACGCTTCGCACCAAGTACGGCTTCATGGACCCCATTCGCCAGGGCTCCACCCGTGCCTATGCCATTGTCAATGGTCACATCACCATTGCTTCCATCTGTCTGGCTGGTCTCCCTCTGATTGCTTCGTTCTTCATGCCCAACTACTACCTCGGCAAGCAGCAGAACGCTGTAAACAACAAGGGCCTCGATGGCGTGGTCGTTGATGTGCCTGATCAGCGTGGAGAGGAGGACGAGTCGGTCGCTACTCAGCCCAAGCGTGCGTCACTGTGGCAGAAGGTGCTTGCTATGTACCGCAGGTAAACATGTCAAGCCCGTAAGTGCATTAGTCAAGATACATAATGTTATAGATAAATTATTTAATTTTGTATCTATCGTTTTTTTTACCTCCGCATTCTTGAAAATGCCCGCTTGTTGCGATGCTGGATTGTAGTTTCTTCAAAGAAGAAGGAGCATGTATCTGATATAGAGAGACAAAAACCTAATATTCTTGTAACGGGTCTCTCACTTTAGTAAAAATTAAAGGAGGGCTTAAGAGTACTTAGCTAAAGAGGGAATGTAATAAAATAAAGGTACTTTAATTAATATGGTATTTATTATAAATTGGAATGTATAACATACATACCCGTGGTCAAGGTGTGGGGCCTACAGCAGCCCTTCGCCCTTTAGTTGGCGCAAACATTGCAGGACATCACAAAAACACCGGGAC